CCCTTTTTTCTGACATGTGCTTAAGGTTCCTGATCTGTAAAAAGAGAATAATACATACATATGTGTGTGTATATATATATATATATACTTTCTTTTTGAGACACAGTCTCGCTCTGTCACCAGGTACCAGGCTGGAGTGCAGTGGCATGATCTTGGCTCACTGCAACCTCTGCCTCTGGGTTCAAGCAATTCTCCTGCCTCAGCCTCCCGAGTAGCTGGGACTGCAGAAGCTCACCACCGTGCCCAGCTAAAATTTATATTTTAGTAGAGATGGAATTTCACTATGTTGGCTAGGATGATCTGGACCTCTTGACCTCACGATCCGCTCACCTCAGCCTCCCAAAGTGCTGGGATTACAGGCGTGAGCCACTGTGCCCAGCCTAAAAGGGAATAATTTAATATGTATCTCAAATGATTGTTTTCATGATTTAGTGATGTGCTATATATTACTACCTCGTCATAACAGGCTGTCAATCAATAAGTTTGAACTATTCTTGGTATCGCAGTATAGAAGCTTATTCTAAGATTTTGCTTTATCTTTAATTTATGGCTGCCACAATGAAAGCATTCATATATAAATTTAATCAGTATCATATAATTATTTTGACTTCAAAACTATTATTTCTTGCATCAAGTGTTGTTTTTTTTAAAAAAAGAAGTAACTGCTTGAGGCAATGTACAAAGTAAAAAGATTGCTTCCTAATCTGTGGGAACTTGCAAACTACAATGAATTCTGATTCAAGCAAGCTCAACCACTATAATGGGTATCTGTGAGTGTCATAGCGCTGTGCTGGGTGAGGAAAGAGGGAGGATTAATCCTATTCCCAGGAGCTTTTCCTTTACTTGGGCAGACAAAGCTTCACACACATGAAACTAAAACATTAGAACAGAAGGCAGATGTGATCAATCCATGAGCCCTCAGAGTTCAGGGATGACAGAAATCAGTGTGCAAAGATCTCAGGGGCAGCAGTGGGCTTTGAGATAAACCTTGAAGGATGGATGGTTCAGGATTTAACCAGGAAGAAGAAAGAGGGGACAGTACGGTATCCAAGCTGAAGAAGAGGCCATGCCAAGGCTGGCTTTGCCCACACATGTGATTGAGGTGGTGAGAGGTGAAGCATCCCAAAAGACAACTATTGCAGTTTCCGGGGTATGTCCAAGGGAGATGAACATTTGGGAAACAGATTTGAAATAATGACTGACAGAAATTGGAAATGGCTAGGACAAAGGTGATAGAATGAAACAGGATCAAAATAGCTCCGGGCAGGGCAGGGAGTTAGCTTTGCCGAGAGAGAAAATGGCAATGGTGATGCCATTTTCTGAGTTGTTGAAATTCCACTGCTTTGCTGAAAGCACTTGGAGAAAGTGCTGGCTTATAGGATGAGTGAAATAAATGATTATGAATTTATTTTTTAAATCTTTAGTTTTTATCCAAGTAGGGATGATATCTGACATCTACAGATCCCCTTCTCTTTTCATGGAGGCACAATGCTAACTCCTTATCTCATTTCATCCTTGCAAATGATGGAGTTGTTTGCTAGGTAAGGCATTGGTAGATTTTTTAAGTATTTGGCTCTTGTAAATATAAATGTTCCTTAGAGCTGTTTAAAAATAAAACTCTTGTGAGAACATACTATTTGTCCCTTTTATAGAAGAGAAAATCAAGTCATAAGCAACTTGAAAATTCTGCTCAAAGGAACAGCTGGTAAGCAGCAGAGCTGGGATTCAGGCAGTTTGTCTCCAGGGTCCACATTCTCACCCTCTATTCAGGAATCAGCCGTGGGAGAGGGTGAGAATGCACTAAGATGGTATTGCCCTACACCATCTGAAAGAAAAAGACCCTTCTCCTACTGACTCCTCTCCCTCTCCCCCACAAATACAGAAAGAATTGTAAACAAGCAAGAAAGGACACAAGACTGGTACAAAACACTTGTTACAAAATCCTTTAAAGGTCAAGGAAGAAATAATTCTCCAAACAGAGGCCAGTAGCCTTAGGAAACACCGCAAACTCTTTGATCTTACTACGCCAATGGCTAAGACATTGCAAGGATTGATAAGAACTGGCCACATGTAGGAATATCCATCAAGAGGAGCATTGTAGGAGAAAAACATGCTACTATTTAATTCAAATTCTGCCTCTGAGACTGTTTGATGCTTTAGTTATTTCTCACCTGGACTATTGTTGGTACCTTGGCAAGCCCTTTCTATTCATCTGTCATGCTTTACTGTCTATTCAAAACACAGAAACACATTTATTTTTTCCCCACCAGCTGTAAGTCTCAAACCACTCTTTACTGAGGCAATTATGCCAGTTTTCTGTTTCATCAGAGAATTCAATTTAAAATTTTAGTGCCAGTGGTTAAAATACTTACTTCATACATAACTTGAAGTTTGTATGGATTTAATTCACATTTATGTTTCTGTTCACACTTTGCATCCTTTAATTGATTTATTTGTTGGCTATGCCATCTGTAGATTTTAAGTACTGAGCTTTTGCAAATGACTTTTTTCCCCTTTCTCAAAGCTGTTTTGAAAATTATTTCTCTCACCTTATTGCAATTAAAGCTGTGCTACATTCTTATCTTCCGGAGTTGAACATTTTTATAGCATTACCTTCTTGTATCTTTATCATAAGTTACATTGTACAGGTCTGGGCATATACAATAACTTTTAAACCATGTAGAGACAGAATTTCTAAGGTGGGGAATCTAAAACTTCCCATTGGTATCCAGTGGGAAGGAGCCCTCTAATGGGCTCTGTGGTCTGCTCTAGAGCACCATGAAAATCTAAACATCAATGGAGTAAAAGCACTTCATTGTTTTTTGGGGTTGGTTGATGGATGTCCAATTTGTGAATGTGGAGAAGGCCTCTGATCTTCCTAGAATTTGGATGTATGAAGAGCTCTCTTCTAGCTAATATTCCATAACCTTTGAGCAAAGGTTTCCAGCCTGGTATGCTCAGCTCCTAGCCTGGTGCCTGGAGTCTGTAGGTGATCAGTAAATGCCTGTTAGATGAGTAAATTACAAACACTAATTAGGTTAGTTCTATTTGCAGTCTAAAACAAGATGTGGCTGGCCACGTTTAGCATGGAACAGAGAACAAAGAGAAATGTAGTCTTCCTTTTGACTTCACCCTACCTCTGCAATGTCTTCAAAGTGTTATGACCTTCAAGGCTGGGAGCACATGCAATGATCCCCTTCTTTCTCTTTGCTTATACGAGTTGCCAGCTGGCTGGGTGCCATGGCTCATGCCTGTAATCCCAGCACTTTGGGAGGCCGAGGTGGGTGGATCACTTGAGGTCAGGAATTCAAGACCAGCCTGGCTAACATGGTGAAATCCTGTTTCTACTAACAATACAAAAATTACCTGGGCGCGGTGGCAGGTGCTTGTAATCCCAACTACTTGGGAGGCTGAGGCAGAAGAATCACTTGAACCCAGGAGGCGGAGGTTGCAGTCAGCCAAGACCGTGCCATTGCACTCCAGCCTGGGCGATAGAGTGAAAACTCCATCTCAAAAAAACAAAAAGCAATAAACAAAGGGTTGCCAGCTGTATGGCATTCTCTCTCCTATGTAGTCACTGGTGGTGTGATTGTGGATGACAAGGGCGAGAGGGTCTTGCCTCTGATACCCAAGAGTGTAAGATTAGTTGCGTATAGGTTTTACACTTCTTCCCTCAAGAAGTTCTTTGCTCCAGATATTTAACTATTATTTGAAAACACAATCCTTCAAGATTCTTTCCATGCCTATCAATTTATATAGAGCTATGGTTTCTACCTTGGCTTCACATTGGAATCAACTGGAAAGCTTAAAACACTGATGTCTGGCTCTCACCTTAGAATTCTCATTTAATTGGTCTGGGATGTGGTTTTGGCCTACGGGATTTTAACATTTTTCCAGTTGATTCTAATGTGCAGCCAGGTTGAGAACTGATGATGTAGAATATTCTTGTTAAATACCCGAAAGGCCAGAACTCTAAATATGGCATAATGAATTTTATTTTATATCTGCCATGTTTTGAAGAATTTTTCATATTAAAATAACAATTCTCACTAAACTGTTTAGAACAAGATTTTTCAAATTATCAGTGACAGGTCACCTGGAAAACTTGTTAAATATGCTGAGTTTTAGATTCCCCACCTTAGAAATTCTGTCTCAGTACATTTGTGGTAAATACAAAAGCCTTTATTTTTAAACACACACCCAAAGAATTTCTGTAGACGTAAAATCTGGAAGTACTGCCTCAAAAGACATCTCAAAGCATTAAAACAGCTTTAGGCAATTACAACAAAGAGCATGCCACTTGGTAGTCTTGTGGTTCAGTGTCATAGAAGAATGATAAAGATCTCAAAACAGAGAAAATAGAAGTTTACCCTCTGTTTGTAAGCTTTCTAGCAGTTTTTAGAATGCAAATTACCTAATGGTAACAGTAAGAATTTTTGAAAAAATGTATTAATTCCTTGCATCAGTGTACAATTTCTACTTTATGAAAACAATAAACTAAAAAAAATTAATTTAAATGACTCTAATTAAACTTTAATTCTTCACTTAAAAAACATGAAGTAATTCAAGACTGCTATCGTGTTTAAACACACCCAGAATATCTTTAAATATAGGCTTAAAATTAGTCCTTGATGAATGTTTCAAAGCATTAGACAAAAATTTAAGGCATCTAGTTTTGTTGAACAAATTTAAGAACATTGAGGATAACAGACTCTTTGAAGCTTTAGGACAAGTACACATTTTAGTTTAAAGCTGAAAAACCCTTCTATCTAGCTTAAACTTCAGTGGGAATTTAGGGAAAGAAAATGAATTACTCAAGCTGAAACTACATCAAAATGTCAAGTTAACACATTTTGGCTTGTAATGGTGCCAAGGGATCTAATGCCTGAATAATCAGGGCTGTAGATTTCTAAATCATTTTAAAGATAATGTCCTTACCAGGATGCTGGATCTTTCATTTTATTTTTTCTTAACTGTTTCTTCTCTATGCTTTTACTCAGGCTAACCAAGACCTGACAAGATCACATAGCAATTAACTGAAACAGCTGCCAAGAAACAGCTGCAAATAAAAATGTAAGTATAGAAGTTCACAAATTCAGAAAAAAAATATTACGACTAGTAATTCCCATGATAGTCAATGATGCATTTGATTTTCTGTAAACTTTTCTTGATCTTTTGAAGGTTGGATAACTAATATTATGTCTGAGATAGTATTATAACCAAGAAAGAACAACAGTGAGCTGTGGTTGCCATTGTATTTTTTTTTTTGCAAATTTTCCTGGTTGCCCCCCTTTTTCAAATATTTGTTCCTTGCACAGTACATTCTTCCATAACTCCCATGCCACAGGAATGGGCTTATAACGTGGATTAGTCTCATCCACGTTACAAGATTTATATCATCATTGGTCCATGGGTTGGTTATAGAGTCTATTCTAGGATTGCTCAATTTCGAGTTGGAGAAGCAACCTAGCTCTGGGCTCAGGACACAGAAAGGTGTTAAGGACAGTGGAAGGCCATTTTCCTCACCATCTGGAAAAAGCCAATCTGCAATGAGAGAGAATGGAACAAACACAAATAGGCTAAAATTAGGGGTGGACATAGAATCTTGAGGGCACTGAAACTTGATTCCAATTCCTGAAGCCCTGCTTCTTGCCATTTTCTTTTATTCTGTGAGCTCTTCTCTAGCATCTTTTCTCACTACAGAAACTAAGAAATCCCTTTTGGCTTAAGCCATTTAGAATTGGGTTCTAATAATCTGCAACCAAAATTCTAACATAGAATATGAGATTATCTAGTCTCACTCATCATTTTACAGATGAGAAAACAGAGATTTACTTGCCCAAGAGAACACATTACAATTGAATTCACCTTTCTTTGCTCCTCAATCTCTTAGTATGCCCTCCCTCAAGAAAAAGTTGAAACTCTGAGAATTTGTGGGGTCCATGTATTTAACAACCCCTGCCATGTTCATTAATTGGTCCCAAGTAGATTTGTGAATAACTGGGTAAACCCATGTCAGTTCTGAGTTGCAAATACACCCTTTCAGAACTTGCTACAGCTCTGAGCAGAGTGTAGCTGCACTGATGATTGTTCTACAGAAATATTCTTTATGGAACCAAAACCAAAAGAATGCAATTTCCACATTCCCTCCAAGAGTTGAATTTGTGGCACCTTGAATAATCAAAGTAGAGTGTGATAATTAAAACAAAAAATTAGGTTAGAACATTTCAGAACTGTCTTGGAAGTTGTCAGTACCAAAATACTAAATTGACAAGAGTAGCCAGCCATAGTGCACTACATTCATAATAGTGCAAAAATATAGTGAAAACCTATAAAAACCCTGCATGTCCAAATAAACTATTAGATACTAAGAAGTACCACAGTAGGTTGGACAGTGGTCCTATTTCTTCTCCTTGTCACAGCTTCATACACCTTTTCCTTCTGCTCTTTAACTTGGAAGAGCTTCCCACTGCAGGCAGAGTCCACATCCCAGGTAACACTGAGCTTGCACATAACTGCTCTGATAAATGTCAAGTTGGAGGGTCTAAAGATGCTTGCATGGTTTGTCTTGTCTTCTTACACTCTGTCTAGGTGGGAATCTGCATAACTTTAAAAATCTTTGCCTATTTTTTGAATAGCCAATATTCGCACGTTGTAAAATTCAAAAGGTACAAAATGATACGATGAAAAGTCAGTGCCTTCTTAATTTTGATCTTCAACCACCCACTTCCCCTCCCCAGAGGAAGCCTGTTACCGGTTTCTTGTGTTACCTTCCAGAGAAACTTTTACAAGAAAAGTCCAACAGCAATATTTTTCAGAGTCAGAACTGAGCCCAGATAGGAAGAGCCTTCTGAATCAAGCTGGAAAAGTCTTCTCTGGAAAGACTCCAACTCTTATTTGAGAATAAATTATTTGTACTTTGAGAAATCAGCTCCCATACGGATATTGAAACAGGATTGACTATAGATTAAAAAAAAAAAAAAAAAATCACCTGTCATATAGAACTATCTCATTTAAAATCCCTGCAAATGTACTGTTTCCAAAACACACTCATGCTTACTTTAGGGGATACCTGAAAAATTAGGTAAGTGCTTGCTTCTTGGCCTAAAGCACACAGCAAATAAGCACACAGTTGTGACTTTAATTTGTGCTGTCCTTAGATTGTTTCTCTCCTTTTAGAGACAGATCATTTAACACCAAATACTTGAAGAACATGTTAAAGTAATTTTCATCTATTCATAGAAATATACATTTTAATTGGCTTGGCAATAAAATTGAATTTAAAAACGAGCTAAAATGGTAACATATCTTTAATTTTAATTAATTTGTATATAGATTGACTGTATTTGATAATCTGCAGAAATATTTAAATATTTAATTTTCTTCTAGAAGGGTAACTGATATAGTAAATCCATTGATCAAATTTTAAATTTATTTTAAAACTTTATTTTGCCTTTTAAAAAACAATTATTCAATTCATGAAGATGAACCAAAATACAAACCCCATCAAAGTTTATTACAATAATCTTTCATAAAATCAATAGCATTAAAAAAAACAGTTAATGAATATTTTAATGTAAAAATAGGAACTTTAGTTTTAGTGACTAAAATAAAAGCAGATAAATAATCTTCACAGGGAAAAAATACTTGAGGGAAAAAACAACGGTGCAACATGTGTAAAGCAGGAAATTTAAATATCAGCTTAGTTCCTCATTGCCAACATGGCATTTATATCCCAGATGAGATTTCGTAATTGATCCATAATTTGCTTCAGCTGTTGATTCTTCTGTTTGAGTTTCTGTAGAAACAAAAGAATTTATCAAAAATGTTTCAGGAAATATAGACCATGAAGTTAGAAGATTAAAATGTTATTAAGTTAGTACTGTAATGATCCAGACAGAAATTAAGCTAAATATCCCTATAAGGCAGGTAGTCTCAACCCTTTTCTGGCCTTAAATACTCACTGACAGGGATCCTGAATTCTAATCCAGCCTGCAGAGGTCTATGGTTCCAGCCCTGCCCCAGGCCCTGCTTACTCTTCCACTTCTACAATCAATCAATAAGTAAATCATCTAAACATTTATTTGTTATAAAACCTAAGCATACAGGTTTGCTAAGGGGCAGTATAACCTAACGGTCAAGAACCCATACTCTAGAGCCAGATCTTTGGACGTTCAAATCCTTCATAATGATTTTTTTTCCCCAAGCTGGAGTGCAGTGGTGCAATCTCAGCTCACCGAAACCTCAGTCTCCCGGGTTCAAGCAATTCTCCTGCCTCAGCCTTCCAAGTAGCTGGAATTAGAGGCACCCGCCACCACACCCGGGTATTCTGTTGTTGTTTTTAGTAGAGAAGGGGTGTTGCCACGTTGGGCAGGCTGGTCTCCTGATTTCAAGTGATCCGTGCGTCTCAGCATCCCAAGTAATTACAGGCATAAGCCACCACACCAGGCCAGATCCTTCACTATGAAACTTATGACAATGACCTAATTATTTACCCTCCTGTACTTCTATTTTCACATCAGAGAAATGGACATAATAATTGAACCTACCTCATAAGAGTTATGAGGATTAAATGATCGGATGCATGTCGAGTATTAGAACTGTACCCGACACATAAGTAAACATTCAACAAATGTTACTCAAAGGCACAGAATGTAAACTGTTGATACAGAAAATAAAATAAAAATACAATGCCTCAGGCAATCGGTCTTTCAAAAGTGTGGCAGAAATCACTGTCTGCCTGGAGCATGAATTGCAGTCTCCTTCTAATTCTAAAAACTGAAGACAAAATTACACAGCACCCGATGCAATCTCCTCTACTAAGATTTGCTGAATGCCTGAAATGCACACGGCATGTGTCTCTGTATCTCTACACTTGGATTCTACCAGACTAAGATTTGTGAACTTCTTTGTAAGCATTCTTTATGCAAATTCTATGTGGTAAATGTCCTCTTACATAAGACAAGATAAAAATAGAGAACTTCTGGTGAGAGTGATTACTGGTTATAATAATAATCATTATTATTATTCAGTAACCCCTTGGAAACATTACATTTGGAAACAATATATTTAATTAGATAATTTAAAGATACTAAATATTTTTTATTATACTTTAAGTTCTGGGATACATGTGCAGAACGTGCAGGTTTGTTACATAGGTATATACATGCCATGGTGGTTTGCTGCACCCATCAACCTGTCATTTACATTAGGTATTTCTCCTAATGCTATCCTTCTCCTAGTCCCCCACCCTCCGACATGCCCCGGTGTGTGAAGTTCCCCTCCCTGAGTCCATGTGTTCTCATTGTTCAACTCCCAGTTAAGTGTGAGAACATGCAGTGTTTGGTTTTCTGTTCTGTGTTAGTTTGCTGAGAATGATGGTTTCCAGCTTCATCTATGTCCCTGCAAAGGACATGATCTCATCATTTTTTATGGCTGCATAGTATTCCATGGTGTATATGTGCCACGTTTTCTTTATCTAGTCTACAACTGACAGGCATTTGGGTTGGTTCCAAGTCTTTGCTATTGTGAACAGCTGCAATAAACATGTGTGTACATGTGTCTTTATAGTAGAATGATTTATAATCCTTTGTATATACCCAGTAATGGAATGGCTGGGTCAAATGGTATTTCTGTTTCTAGATCCTTGAAGAATAAAATACTATATTAAACTACTTCCAGATAATTTAGGGTATGTTCATTTAAAAGAGGCCTAAAAACCTTAATTTTGATTTCATAAAAAAAGCAAACTAAAATGAAGTAAGTTGCTTGTATTGCTTCTGTTCAGAGTTAGGGAAGTAACAAGCAGTAGGTAGCTAAAAGGAAAGACCAAGAAATTCTTATTGGAAAATAGAAAATCAATTTACAGAGACTTTAAAAATCTTTCATAACTAACTAAATTTAACTCACATTTGAAAAGAGAACCTGCACAATGCAGTCAGAGAAAAACATGCCTTATACAGTACACACGGCTTGACTCTAAAGCTCACTTTAAGTCTTCGGGAAGCAGAAACTTGGCATTTTTAGTTACTCAGTCTCCCTGTACAAGTTTTCAGATGACCCATCTCTATATTCTGTCATTATGAGTATGTGATAGTCTGCTATTTAAGTGGTTGTAAATATTATCTAACAAAATTGATTCAAATTACTGGGAAAGATGAGGAATAACCAAGCCTATTAACTCTTTTTCATCATAGAGACTAAGAAACCTACACTTCTGCCAGCAATCAAGAGTAGCAGCAAAACAGAGGAATATAACAGTGCTATACTGGGAGGATGGCAATCTCAGTCTCAGTTCCAACTTTGCTTCTAACTTGGCATTTGATCTTAGACAAATTCCTTCTCTTCAGGTTTTCTCGTTTATGTAACTGGATTACAAAATGTAAGGTCTCTGCCAGTTATACTTTCTGCATACCCATACATAAGATGACAATTAGTCATCTGGGTGGTTATAAACAGACATTACAATCAATATCAACTCAGGGCTTGCAGATGGCTCTCGCAATGGTTCCACCATTGAAATAAACACATAACCTACCAATAAGACTACTTTCAAGAATTCTCATTTGGAAATGTACATTCTGGTACTCTTTTTAAGCCTCATAATTGTTTTCTAGAAAAGAACTAAAATGTGTAGGGTATTTTCAAGATATTATTCAACTCTAGGGAAAAGAAAATTTTTAAATAATTAATATATTATAAGGTTCTTGGGATAGCATTTGTCAAAGATGCCACAAAGTTTTAAATTAAAAAAATTAGCATACAAATAAAATATCCAAAGTCAAAACATGTCACAAAATGATCAATAGCAAAGCTGACATTTATGCTTATTAGAGGCTAAACTGTAAATAAATTTTCATGACATGATATAGGATTTAATATATACAGTCTTGCCACTGATTGATTTTAACAGAGGTTGACAGCTGCTATTTTCAAAATCCATCAGCTGTGCTCAATTTCTTACATTAACAGGTGAATGCGTAAGTAGATACTTAAAAAAAGTTTATGCTAACTTATACCATGTAATTTAATATTCACACAAAAGCTGTGACAGTTGACAAAAACTGCTTTACTTTCTAAATGCATGGACTCAACTATGTCAACCTTGTAAATACTACCTACTATCTTTTTCAATTTCATTTTACCAACAAGGAAACAGCCTTAAGCAAAATAAAACTCATTTTGATGTCCCTAAAGCAAGCTTGTCCAACCATGGCCTGCAGGCAGCCGCATGTAGCCCAGGTTGGCTTTGAGTGCGGCCCAATACAAATTCAACTTTCTTAAAACATTCTAAAATGCTTTTTTTTGCGATTTTTTTTTTTTTTGGTTTATCAGCTATCATTAGTGTTAGTATAGTTTATGTGTGGCCCAAGACAATTCTTTTTCCAATGTGGTTTAGGGAAGCCAAAAGATTGAACACCCCTGCACCTAAAGCATATAGTCACAAACAAGTATCCACCCTTTACTTGGGTTAATCAGGCTTAAGGATTCCAGGATAAATGAAGAGAAAATAAAAAGTATTTAGATAAACCACAAATTTAACTATTAAAACCAGCCATTTTGTCTTATGATGATTTATAACAAATACTGACTACAAATCATGTGCCTTAAAGTTTCATGGCACCAGGATAGGTATTGGTGATATTTGCGTTGTTAGAAACCAGACAGACCATAAGGACTAAACAGTAAACACACCATCAATATGCTCTTCTGCACAATTTCAAGGATGCAATGATATGATAATATTCTGAAAATGACTAAGTGAGGGTCAACTGAGGGGTATATAGGTCTACTTATTTTATGTAGCTTATTTAGAATAAAAAGACAATATGTATTGTAATAAAATTCTGAATATTTTAAGTTGAATGCAAATAATAAAATTTTATTACAGATTGCACAGATCCATAAAGCAACTTAGTTATTTAATACAACCAAATGCCAGTGTATTAAAAATATGGCACAATACTTTTGTTTCTGTAAATATTCATCAAAACATGAAATGGATACATGAAACAGGTGCTGCTTTGTTTCCACTGGAGAGTCTTAAGGTCTCCAAGAAGAAACTTGTCCACTCTTGTGAAATGAGTATGATAGCATACAACACATCCAGCTGGTTCATGGAAGAAATTACGGTACTGAAGACAATGCCTGGCAGAGAGCAGGCATACCAATATTTAAATATTTTCATGTTTGAAGAAAAAATAACAAAAGCCAAATCAAAAAACTTCTCCCAAAACCAACAAGAATGGAAAAAACAAGACAAGCAAACAAAAATTCTTGGCGATCATTTCAAAACTTTTTTATTTAAATAACTCTTCTTAGTATAAAAAAAGATTTAATAATGGCCATTAAAAACTACACACTTCTACACTCCCTGCCATAATATGTAAGAAGTATTTTCAATGTTTTAGTGTTACTAGCTAAGATCCTATGAAATTTAAAACTTTCATCTACTAACTGTATGAACTGAAAAAAAAAGCAAATCTTTCCTTTAAGGAAAAGTCTGTCAAACCCTATACTAGATTATGGAATGCCTTCAAATTTCTGAGAAAACATAAATTACAACATAGAATTTTATAACCAGCCAAACTATCAACTGGACAGATATGAGAGGGCTCAAAATTTAAGTGTCTGCATTCTTTCTAAAGAAGTCACTGATGTATGCACATTACCAACAAGGAAGAAAACCATGAAACAGGAAGACATGAGCTGAAGAAATGTGAAACCAACAGAAAAGGTGAGGAAAGCCCCAGAGCTAAAAAGCAGGCTCAGCCAGCATTCCATACAGACCTAAAAGACAATAGAAAACTTGAGAGGGTGGGATGAGAACCATGAAACTGTCTGATAATTTTCAATCTGTGGAAAATTGGAAAATAGTATTGAGATGCTATCATAGATGCATGAAAAAACTAACTAAAATTTTAGAAATTAAAGAGGTAAGAATTAACTCCAGAAAAACAAAAAATTATTCACCAAGGAAATGTAACCCTAGTATTGTTTATGGTTTAGCAATAAACAATACTTATACTGCCATAATTATATGGCACGGATTATGTACTCAACCACAATTATGATATAGCTGCACTGAAAGGTTTGAGGGAAACAATTACATAGGTGGGTCCTGGAGAGAGAGGTGACAGAGAGCTAAATCCTCACGTGAAGAAATAAGTTCTTTTATAATTCTTACCTCTTTAATTTTCTAAAATTTGTTAGTTTTTATGCATCTGTGACAGCATCTCAGTACTATTTTCCAATTTTTCACAGAGTCAAAATCATCAGACAGTTTCATGGTTCTCACCCTACTCTCCCAAGTGTTCTAGTGTCTTGTAGGTCTGGATGGAATGCTGGTGGGCCTGCCTATCCTTGTATCAACTATATCCTTTATCTAAAATCCACAAAACTCTATGTCAGTAGCTAATAAGACTTTTTTTGGTTTCATGCTGCCAAAGAATTACCATATTTTGATTATAAAAGAGAACTTTTAAATGTCAAAGACACATTATTTCTAAGTTATCAAATTGGGAAAAAAGAGGAACTTAATGAAAATTGAAGTGAAATGTAAATTTAGAAAAAGTATCTTTCTGAATTTATACAGCTTTATTTTTTACAAAATACTGTAAAAGCCTCTATAATACAGAACAAACTATATTTATATTAGTTACACATGTGGTACTCTGAAACCGAAGTTATTATTACCATGGTGTTTTATTTATATATATATTTCAATTGTACTTTATAAAAAATCCTTCTCAGAGAAAAATAAGCAGAACACATTTATTGAGGTAATACATATTTTATCAACAGAAACATATAACACGTGTTATATGTTTATAGTTAATAAGTGAATGTCTCATATATCTAGACTACCAAACACCAGTTATTTTTCAGTATCTAAAAGTTCCCAATCCCTCCTCATCCTCTACCAATTTCCTACTGTGAGTTCTTTATTATGATTGTCATTTATTACAATCAGATTTTTTGGAAATAGTCTTCTAAATCTGTATTTCACCTTTTTAAGAAGTTACAAAATTTTATTTTATAAAATCTATCCATCTTTTCCTTTCTCCTGAGTTTTAAAATACTTAAAAAATTATTCAATATTTTGTTTTACAGGTCTTACTTTCAACTCTGAAACTCATTTTGATATATGGTGTTATGTAAAAGCTAGCTTAATTTCGCCCCCAAAGTTTCTATTTCTAAAGACTAATTTTCCAAACAAGCCCTCTTCTGTCATATTAAATTCTCATGTACAATAAGAAGCCTGTTTTTCTGGCTAGATTATTTTACGAATCTGCCTATTCTTATGCCAGTATTACACACTTAATTACTGTTTTTATAATATGCTTATTTAATTTTTGAAGCTAAAAATTCTGCTTTATTACTCATATTTATCAACATTTTCTTTGATATTTTTATATACTTTCAAGAAAAAAAAAATCCCATATGGATTTTATTTGGATTTGTTTGATTGGTATTGCACTAAAATCATATTATTTTTACACCCTTTCAAGAAAATGTTTTTAGGATTTGGATTGTTACTGTATTAAAACTGTGAAATAATCAAGATGGTATTTTTATAATATTTATTACTCATTCAATAACTTTATATAATCTTCTAATCATTCAAAGCTTCCTTTATGTACCTTAATAAGTTTATTCACACATATAATTGACATAATTCCTATCTACTTAATATTAATTGTTACAAGAGTGAATAGAATCCTATAATCTAATAGGTTTACACCATTATTAGAGCATGGTATCAATCTTGTCTTAGACCCTTTTACTAGTTGTTCATTAATTGAGTTTCTTTGATCATTCTAACGAGCTTGTACTTAATAACTTCTGTTTCCCAACTGTTATTTGTTTACTGTCTTTTTGTACTGACTATAACTTCTAAAATAACATTAAATGTAGTGGTGTAAAGCATCTTATTTCATGCCTGTTTTTAATAGGAATACTTCTATATTTTACCTTATGAAAAATGTTGGCTATTTATCTAAAAGAAAAAGTTAAAAAACAAAACAAAACACTGTCTTGCTAGTTTTAAGTGTCCTTTGAATCAGCAATAGTATTGAATTCTAGCAGATGTCTTTTAGACATGTGAGAAAATCTTTTTCCAAGGTAGTCTACTAACATCATATATTATACATACAAATTGAACTATAAAATCTTCATATACCTCAGAAGAACCTCTTTGGCTGTAATGAATTATTAATACACTGATGAGTTATATTAATTAGAATTAAGAATTTCAGGAAGGGACAATCTAGATTTGTCAGTGAAAGAGTGAAGCTGATAGTTTTATTCACTGTGCTATTTCTGGTAGGTTTTGCTAAGCTGGGGCCACATTTCCACCACAGAATGAACTGACACCTTTTCCTATTTCTCTCTGTTTCATGAGAACTATTTGAATATTATCTTCCAAACTTTTGAAAGTATTGAGTGATAAATACATTCCAGTTAGAAGCTTTTTGTGGGACTGAAATAGAATAATGCTGGGATAATTCTCTAAATTTCTTATTCAGGTGTTGAGACATTCACATTTCATATCTGTAAATTTTTATCATTTGCTGCTCCAAATATGCTATCAGAAAGCTAGAATTCTGTCCAGAAAAGAAAAAAGTAAATGGATTGTGACTAAGTGTCTAAAGAGCTCTCCTATGAGCTTCATCGAATGAATTTTGCAATTTCTCTTCTGACTATTCAGACAGTATTTCTGCTTACCTTTTAGTTCTTGGCTGTATTCTAAATAGGTTAAGTTTGCCACAGAAAAAAACTTGATGTAATTTGATAATTCAAATTATGTTTTGGAGTTACATCAGACTCCCTAGCAATTTTTATCAATAACTCTAAAACATCAAATGTAAAAACCACTCACCTTATTTACTTCAGCAATTTCTCGCCTCTCCTCACTGGCAAAACGAGGTGGGCCAGCCCGATCATCATTCTTTGAGCCATCTTCTTCCACATATGGAATAAGTTGCTGGGAGTGATCAACAAAAATTAAAAGTCAAAAATATAATTCAAGTTTTCTAATTACTGGTATAGAGAATATATCAGATTAAGGATAATTTTTATATTTCATTTGTATAAAAATAAATTTCAATTCAGGTGATGGCCTGAAGAGCTTTAGTAGGTTACCATTTCAATGCATTCTACACATTACCCTTTCAGGTTTCTTTAGCAAAATAGCCTTTATAACATTGGTTGTCATGGACAGTTAAACAATACTTCCAGCAGGAAGATGGGAGAAGTAACAAAAGATAAAATAATAGGAAAATTTAAAAAATACCCTACTCATTCAATCAGCAAATATTTAATCATGAGGCACTACAAAAGTAATGCCAAACAAGATGTGATCCCTGCCCTTAGAAATTTGTAGTTTACTGAGTTTGATAAAACAGGCTTTCCTTCATCTGTAATAAAAAGAAAAGAACTTCATGGATCTGTGTTACATAAATGTCATTAACTTGCAATCTAAAACTTTAAAGTCTATGTAAACTTGTAGATGTTTAAAGTTTTTCTGGTTGCAAGAACTTTTTCTTTGTAGGAGAAACAAATTAATATAGCAATGAAACTTCTAGCAGAATCATAATTAAGTATGCATGGTTACTGATGGAATTTACTTGATGAAGCCCCTCACAGGTGTGACAGACTTCAGGAATCACCTAGCCTCTACCATCGTGTATGACCAATGCAGGAATAGGCCAAAGGTAAATGATTGGTAGAACTAGGATTCACCTGATAAAACTTGGAACATAAATCAACTAGCCTATGTCTACATTCTCCTTTTCTTTCTTTCTTTCTTTCTTTTTTTTTTGAGATGGAGTTTTGCTCTTGTTGTCCAGACTGTGGCACGATCTTGGCTCACCACAACATCCGCCTTCCAGGTTCAACCAATTCTCTTGCCCTAGCCTACCGAGTAGCTGGGATTACAAGCATGCGCCACCAAACCCAGCTAATTTCTGTATTTTTAGTTTCACCATGTTGGCCAGGCTGGTCTGGAACTCCTGACCTCATGATCCACCCTCCTCGGTCTCCCAAAGTGCTGGAATTATAAGCGTGAGCCACCACGCCCAGCTGCATTCTCCTTTTCTTTGTTTCCTCTCTCCTAATGCAGAGCTGTCCTTCGTCCTACAGAGGATTAGTCACTGTCCCAGTGCCCAGATGACTCTGCTTTCCTGTCTTCATTATTTATACACCTTTCTCCCAACCTCTCCCTACAGCTTTCTTCCTTTATTATCCAAACATGTTCCTGTCTCTTCTATTTGAGGGGAAGCCTCCCTTCCTCCTGCAAACCTTTGATTCCATCTCTCCTTCCACCTACTGCTTTCCTCTCTTATTTTTATCAAAGCTTCTTGAAAGACTGATATTCTCTTGTCGGCTTCAGCTTCTTATGTCCTGTTTAATCTTCACCCAACTGCAATCAGACTTCGTGCTGCTACCCATTTCACTGAAGCTCTACTCAAATACACCAACAATTTTCATCTAGCAAAAAGTACTGGACAGTTTTCATTCCTTATTTTCCTTGACTCTTCTGCAGCATTTGACAATGTAGGCCACATTCCTCATCTTTCTCCCACATCTCTGACCCCTTCTTTTTAGGCATTTTTGCAGTTTAATTTTTCTCTGGTCATCTCTTACCAGCTTCCTTTGGTGGCAGAGAGATAATCTGTCAACAGGAAAGGGTCACTTAATAGAAATACATACCTAATTAAACAAATATGACCCAAGATTAAATTTAGAGAATATATTTTTAAAATATAGTGATTCCACTGGGCTAAATATAAATTCTAAATTAATAACAATAAAAATATTTTATCTGTAAAGTACTTCATGAAAACCACCTTCAAGTATATGATACTATTAAAATTCCTACTAAAAATATCACTGACTTAATTCAAAGGAGACATTGACAGCAAGAAAAATTGCCAGAGAAAACCATTTCTTCCTAACAACAACAAAAATCACTGTAAGTCTGTCAAAGTCTACAAGAAATTGTTAATGTAAAAATATAGTAGCATTTTATGCATATATATCACATTTTCATCTTCTCCGGTCAAAAAGTAAAACGAATAAAATTCAAAACCTGGAAATATTGCTAAAATAAGAGAGAGAGGAAAAAGAATAACAACTGTCTTGACACTAGTTCACACCTTATATTCATCCTCCCTCTATCATGAAAAATCACCTCTACTGGAATGGGATCCATCCCTCCACAGTTTTCATTGCACTTGTCATATACCAATCTCAGCTTCCTGAAGAGAACTGAAAGTTGGCGAAGATTATCTTGTAGCTTCGTTAACCGGTCTTGATACGTTCCAGTGTGGTAAGTGACACCATTTGGCAGCTTATCAGGCAAAACAATGAATAAAAATATAGAATAATGGAAAAAAAAAATAAAAGATTTTCTATAAGTAAAGCCAACAAACAAACAATTTTTAGGCAATGCATAGATGTAAGCTGTCCCCCCAACTGATCAAGTTCAATTTTAAGAATTTAAGACTAATACATGCCCATTTATTAACAACTTGGCATACTGTTTCACTGCTATAAAATAGACCTAGAAAAACCCTGTGATAAACCCTCTGAATTGAAGTACTTTTTCCCCTTTAATTTTTGAAGTGTAACTTTAAAAAGGATGTACAATTTTAATATTACTTCTATATAAATGCAGCATGCTGCTGACCTCAACCAAAAAGTTAAAAACAAAGTACAGTTTTAAATAAAAGTGAATCTTGTGATATTTTAGCAGAAAAACATGAAGAATATACTGCCGGTATTACAAAAATCTTCTCAAAATACCTTAACTCTATTCAGGAATTTTATCGAAAGAGCCAAAAGTATATACTGAAACAATGATAAAATGACAGGTAAACAAAAATCGACTACTGTTTATTTAGAATGTATAACTAAATATGTACTTGTGCATTGCTGAAACTCATGAACAAAACTTTTCTCTGTACAGGTATACAATATTTTACTCCCACAATTTAATCTGTGGCATCACCCTAATACTTGAATCAATAATATTTATACAGTACCTTGTTTGCTAGTATGTAGGTGTTTTTATTTGTAGGAATTCACGTGTATACCTATTTGGGAATTTAAATCAGGTAATTTAAAAACCAAAGCACTATCTACTATCTAATAGCTAGACGATCAGTCCAGTCTTTCTAAGCTTCAGTTTGCATTTTTTTTTCTTTTTTAAACACATGAGGTAGGAATGCCAAAGAGCAAACAAACAAAAGCATAATACAATGTTTGGAGAGAAAGGAAAGAGGACATATGATTAAAATCATAAACATGAAAAAAGACTGGAAAGGCCTATACATAGTTGATAAAAGAGGTGTAAGATAAGTCGGCTTGAATAATTTAATTTCTTCTTTTCTCACATTTCTAAATTTTCTGTAATGTTATGGTTTATGAGTTAAGGAGATGGATCGCCTGAAATTATTTGAAGTGAGATAGGATTTTCAGAAAATTTCAAACATTAAAACACTCAACAATGCCTCAAAGAAATGTGATAAAATACCAAAGGCTGAACTAGTCAAAACATTTTAAAGGAGAAAGGCATTAAGGGTTCATTTCTCAGTACAATGTAAGATTTCTCCTCATGAACTCTCAATTTATGAAATTCCAGACACTAACTAGAAATTCAGAAAAAGTTTAGGTAGATCCCTACTTTCTTGTTTAGGTGACAAAAAAGAGCGTGATGATTATATCTTACCTAGAACAGCACTCTGTACCTTTATTATTGCATTTATGAGGTTTAATACTTTGCCATATTTTCTACTTAGTAAATACTGAAACTTAGGTTTATATCATCATGTTTAGCATAGTGCACAAACACAGAAGGCTTTAAAGTACAGTCTGAATTATTTTACCCAAAATCTATACTGAAACCTTATTAAGAAGTGTGTATTATGTAAAAGAACTCTTGATAAATACTGTCATAAAGAAGACAAAAATCCTTTTGAAATGCAAAGAATCACGCTTCCCAAATTTGCTGACTTAGAAACATATCAGATTTTAAATCTAATATCCAAACTTACATATTTAACTTATTAAATCATTTAAAAAAATACCACACACCTTTAATGTGTCAGCACTGTTCTAGAAGCTGGGATAGTGCAGTAAACATGAGAGAGATGGATCTCATACTATAGAGTATACAAGGTAAAAATGCCTAAGATCCCTTGGTATATACTGTGGTGTAGCTGTTCAGCTGAAAAACTCATCAATAACCATCTCACTCATGAGTATGGATGAAAACCCATAAATATATGATCAGATCCATAGCTCCTAAGAAGGCATTAAATGATATTCAACATTTATTTAAAAAATCAATATAAAACTCAATAAAAATCCTCAATGTGATAACATACATTTATTTCAGTTAAAAAGTCAGCACCATGATTAATGTGGAATCATTAGAAGCATTCTCACTAAGGTCAGAAACAGAAAAGGATGTCTACTAAGACCACTAATTCTACAAGTGAACACTGTTCAGGAAGCATTAGCCAATGCAATTAGAGAAGAAAAAGAGAGGAAAAAAAAATGTTGAAACATTAAAAAGAAAGCATCATAATCTATTTACAAATAATATGATAAAGTGATACTAAAAATAAAAGAATTCAATAAGGAGGTAGGTCCAAAGAGAAAGCAATAGCTCTGCTTTCATCTGTAAAACCAACAAAAACATGGGAAACAAATTAAGACCCCATTTACAATAGCAACAGAAAAGATAAAATACCTATAACAAAACTTTTAAAATCTCAAGATAAAAATAAAAACTTAAAATACTTTATAGAGAAACAGAAAAAGAATACTCCTGTTCTTGGTTAGTCAGAGTCAACATCATAACGATGGCAAGTCTTTCTAGGCTGAATGAACCTAATAAAAATGCTAATCGTTCTTTCTTAGAACATGCTGATTCTAAAATATATGTAGAAAAATAAGCAAGAATAGCCAGGGAAATTCTGAAAAATAAGTGTAAACACATTATCGAGCCTGACAAATTATAAGAATGTTTTGCATTAATACATAAAAGATAGGCAGCTACGTGGAATAGAACATCCAGAAACAAATTCACTTATGTAAAAACTACCTCAAATCACTGGAAGAAGCAAATGAATTATTCAGTGAACCTTTTGAAAAAGTTAAGGCTAGGCCCAGATCTCACACTTTATAGGATAAATTCCATAAGGATCACAGTTTTAAATGTAAAGACTGAAAATTTTAAAATTAAACAATTCTTCCTGATTTGAGTGGGGAAGACCTTCCTAACTAGGCATAAATCCTAGAAGTCCTAAAAGACTAATAAATTCAACTACTTAATAAAAAAAGCATGGCAAAACTACCACTAGCAGAGCCAACAGGTAAAAGACTGGGAAAAAGAATAAGCACAAGTTAATCACACAGAGCAGGTTTCTCTAATATGTAAATAGCTAAATCCTACAATTATGGTAGGTGAAAAGATGAGAAAAAGGACAGAAAAATGGGTAAATGATATAAATAAGTATTTAGCAGAAAAAAATATACAAATGATTCATAAATATTTTAAGGGATGTTCAAACTCAGTCAAACTAGGAGAAATGTAAAGTAGAATTTTCACCTAACAAGTGATCAAGGATCCAAAAAGATATAACTCACTGTGCTGGCCTTAGGCCGTAGCATAAACTAGTATTATCTCTGTGGAGGACAATTCATCAAAATCTATTTAGTTACAAAAGCACATAGCTGTTTTTAAAAACGTATCCTACAGGTACAGTACATATTTGTGTAGGAGGTTATTTGCTGCAGCTTAACAGGAAGAGGTGAAAAACAGCCAAATGCCCTCACTAGAGCACTGGTTTAATAAATTACAGTATTTCCATGCAGTGTAAACTACACACTGTAAAAAGGAAAAGGCAGTATGAATAAATTCCAAAATATGTCAACTGAAAAAAGCAAGGTACAAAATGGTGTATATAATATACTATTATCTGTGCAAAAAGGGGGAAATGAAACAATATACATAAACATTTGCTGAATATGTGGAGAATATCTGGAAGGATACACAAAAATAGTAAGAATCACTAATAATGACTGCCTGGGGAGAGGGGTTATGTACCTAGAATAACAGATAGGAATGGGAGGGAAAATGTTCACTGTACTGTCCTTTTTTATTCCTGAATTCTGAATGTACTATGTATTTTAAGAAAAATAAAAGATTTAAAGAATAATAAACAGAACCAGAGCAATGGAATCTTTCACAAGGACCCTTAATCTGAGATTCAGGGATTCTTGGGGAGTGTCCCTAAATCTCCCTTTAACCCTTGACATTTTCAAAATGCATATGTATGTTTATTTTTCTAAGAGAGTTCACAGTTTTCATCAGACTCTCAAGTGGCTAACTGACATCTAGTGTATACAAGGAACCACTTCTTTAAAACAAATGCTTAGAAACAATCTTAGCAATTTGTATTCACAGCACTTTACTCTCATAGATCAACAATACAGATAATTACTTTAAAATGTGAATACTTAAAATGTATTAATAAATAACTAGGTTATACATAATTAAGAACATCTGTTTCTATCACCTCTTCTAGTTTTTTTTTTTTTTTTTTGGAAACGAAGGAACCCATTGTTACCTTTTCAGCCAATTATGATAGGCTTCAAAGGGTCTTAGATGAGTCAGACCAAAGATTTCACAAAATGAAAAGCACACATTTATTATTATAGTCCCTTAAAAGTTGGCTTGAATGTAGTAATCTAGTTATTGATAAAATACTTTTTTTTAAAAAAAAGTTTAGTTTTTTCTGCATAGAACATTGTCCTGTATTGTATCTTTTAATAATGCAGATTGACAGCAAGTTAGTATTAAAAAGAGGTTAGTAGGAAGAGCTATTCATCCTGTGTGATGTTGGGTAATTTATTTTTTCTCTCTTTAAGCCTCAGTTTCCTTCACTGTAAAACAGGGATAAAAATGCTTCTTAAAACTGCTCCTATAACAGTGTACCTGACCAAGGAAAGTACTTGGTAAGTGTTATTATTCAGTGCTTTGCATATAACAGGACAAAAAATGTTAAAAATATATTAATTTCTGAGACATCATTTTATCCACACCTTATTCACTCTAGATGACTCTATTCATTTTTTAAATTATGGCCAAAGAATGTCATAATTTCTCCTGGATCCCCTTTGTATTATATTTCACATAGTCTTGAAAATTTCCACAAAACTGAATTATTCTTATAATCAGGAGGAAAAGAAAAACTCAACCACTTAAAAAAAAAAAAAAGGAATTAAATACTTTTTAGGACATCCATAGAAATAAGAGCTATAAGATTTTGAAAACTTTCAATTTACCCTACCACTTACTCGGTTTGGGGAAGTCACTTTACTTCTCTGAAGTACAGAATCTTCACCTGTAAAACCAGAATAATATCTACTACACTTCTCTGAAGTACAGAATCTTCACCTGTAAAACCAGAATAATATCTACTACATGTAGTGGGTAACGTAAGCAATCATTAAAAATGGTTTGGCAAAATGGTGCTGGAACAGCTGGATATCCAAATGCAAAACAGTGAACCTGGATCTGTATCTGCCATTACACAAAGACACAGACACAGACACAGACACACACACACAGTTGGATATCCAAATGCAAAACAATGAACCTGGATCTGTATCTGCCACTACACACACACACTCTCTCCCTCCCTCTCTCCCTCTCTCTCCCTCTCCCTCCCTCTCTCTCTCTCTCTCTCTCTCTCTCTCTCAAACTCACAAAACTTAATACAAAACTCACAAAACTAAATACAAAACCTAATACTACAAAACTTCTAGAAGTAATTAGAAATCCTTTGTCACCCTGGGTTAGTCAAAGATTTCTTAGGTATGACACCAAAAGCAAAATCTATAAAAGAACAAATCAGTAAGCTGGATTCCATCAAAATTAAAAATGTTTGTTCATCAAAAGATAATATGAAGAGAATAAAAAGACAAGACAGATTGGGAGAATTATTTGGAAAGCATCAAGACATAACAGGTGTTGATAAGGACGAGGAGAAACTAGAACCCTCAAACAGCAATGTTTACATTCCCACTAGCAATAATTGGAAAGCAAAATGGCTCAGGCCACTTTGGAAACTTTTCTTAAAGTATTAAACAGACATCTACTCCATGATCCAGCAATTCCACTCCTGAATATCTCTCTGTCCAAGAGAAATGAGAGACATGCTCACACAAAAATGTGTCAGCAAAATAATGTCAGCAGCATTATTTATAATAGCCAAAAAGTGGAAACAACCCAAATGTTCATCAATAGCAAAGGTACGCAAGTGGTGAGATACCGATACAATGGAACATTACTCAGCAATAAAAAGGAATTATTGATGCATGCTTAGTTAAGGTTCCCAGACAAAGAAAGCCCACGGACTGTAGACTCCATTTATTTAAAACTCTAGCAAATGCAAATTAATTTATGATTACAGAAAGCAGATCAGTGTTTGCTTCGCAATGGAAGATGGGAAGCAAAGATGTCATAGGTGTATGAGGAAACTTTCTGGGGTGATGTGTATGTTCACTATCTTGATTGTGGTGATAATTTCACAAGTATACACAGTAAAGCACACATATTTGTCAAAACTTTAGGTGAGTGTAGTTTACTTGTATATTAACTATGCCAAAAACAGGGTGGACTGTTTTTTAAAAAAGAATGTAAATTCTTCAATTCCTTGGACCTCCCCAGAAGAAATGCTAGAAAAACAACAACAACATTTAAAGCAACCTAAGGAGGGAAGTGGAGTCCGACCCATCTCTGCCATGAAAGCTGCAAGGGTTTACATGGTAACTAAAGAGCTTGATCGAATCTAAAAAATTTGGCTTCAATTCTCCAGAAATCTGGTCTGGAAAACACCACCTCTACTGCTCCGACTTTTGGGGACACTCTTGAGTGTGAACGGGGGCGACCCTACATCTTAGGTTTGCCCAGGGCAGCCCCGTGGACGTCCACGGGCCCCACGTAACGAGGAAACCAGCGCCCTTTTCCCTCCCAGCATCATCCCGCTGGCCCCGCGCGCCCGCGTTCCCTTCCTACCTGCATATTCCTGAGGAGCTGGAAGATCTCCATGGTGCGGTACACAATGTCCTGCACCGTCTCCTGCCCGATGCGGCACAGTGACGCCGTGTTCACCTCCCGGGCGGCCTGCTGAGCCTGGGGCCCAGCGAAGGGCCCGGGCGCCATCCCTGACGCGGCCAACGGAGGGGTGGACATGGCGCGCCTGCAGCCTCACGCCGGGTGAAGCCAGAGTCCCCCAGAATTGGGCTGCTGCGAGGCCTCAGCGTTGGAACCAACTTGAGAGACCCACGCGGCCCTATTTCAAAACAGCGGCCGCGACTTCCGCCCACTGTGACGTAACACGTCCGAAAACGCCACGGAAACCGCCCACTCGGCTAACTGTCTCCGAGCGGAGCCGGGCGGGATTGGGCTGGACTCCTGGGCAGGAAAGGACGGACGGGTTGAGTAGCCAATCATCAACTGCGCTCCAGCCGAAGGGGGGGTGTTTGCGGGAAACGCGGTTTCCAGAGTTCCTTTCCTAGTCTTGGCCCAGCGTTAGAATCTTCTGTTTAGTTCTTTGCGGAGCATTTTCTCTTAACAAGCCTGAGGTATGTAGTATTACAGCTAAGGGACAGGTTAAAGTATTTGTTCAGTCGCGTACAGGTATAACTGGATACTTGCTGTTCGAATTTAGAAAGCAAGATTCCTAAGCTTGTACGCTTCTCTGTGAAGTGATACGAGCTCCCCGATTGCTCTTGGTCCCTGCTCAGATGTTTTATCTCTGAGTTTTCCCGAACCCTCTAAGCAAAAAAGTTATCAACAGACACACTTCTTTCTGACTCTGGCACTTATCACTGTCTGATATTTTATGTAACTTTCGATTTGTTTATTTTCAGACTTTACTTCACCCTGTCTGCGCACACACACACACTGCAAACTCCATGAAAACACGATTTTATTCACTTACTGTATTCTCAACACCTAGTGATTGGTACAAGTATCAATAAATACTTGCTGAAGGATTGTTGAGTGACATGATAAATGCAAGAAAAATCAAAATAAAATATCTCTCACCTCTTACGGTTTATCTCCAAAGTTGGGGGGAGTCAAGAATGTAAAACTGGTGATAGATACAAACATTGAAATTTTTTAGAAGTATCTGAATGCTCCATTATATGGACTTTCCAGGAAATGGTTACCAAGTAAGGCATAGGAACCATGGTGGAGATTTTAAACATGGTAATTCGCGGGTGTTCAGTGAGCAATTACCATTAGACAAATATTGGTTGAGCACCTACTATGTGCTGGGTGCTAGGAATGAAGATAGACTACTGAACAAGTCAGGCAAAAGCCCCGCTCCCTGTTTGTCATGGAGACAAACGGAACACTATTGTGATGAATGTCTTGAAGCAGAAGTTCTTGATATCAGGGTGCTAACAATTTAGGAAATTGAGAACGAGCTGAAGGGAGCAGTGTGGGACCTAAAGGCAGACAGGGAAGGATCCCTGGAGGCTCTTCTAATCCATGTCAAGCAGTTGAGAATTTATAGAGTAAAGTAGCAATCCATTGAAGAGTTTCAAGGTAAGAGGAATAATTTGAAGTATTCACTTTAGAGAATCTATTCTGGTTGCTAAATGGGGAATAGATGGTGAGTTTGTATTGTCTTCTCTCCCAAAGGGTAATGATGATGATCATCATAACCTGTGTGGAGGAAAGAGACAGAGAGTAACTTTGAATAAATATTTAGTAAGTAGAATCTAGAGAACTTGATATTGCCTGGATTAGGAGCATGAAGAAAATGAAAGAATTAAGGATGGCACATAGTTCTGCTTTCATGTGAAACTTCAGGTGAAATTTATGTCATTTACTACAACAGGATACACTGAAGAAAAAATAAGTTTCAGAGAAATTATGCTCTATTGTAGTTTCCCCTTGCGTATGTAATAAATTACTACACACTTTGTGGCTTAAAACAACATATATTTGGCCGGGCATGGTGGCTCATGCCTGTAATCCCAGCACTTTGGGAGGCCAAGGCAGGTGGATCATGAGGTCAGGAGTTCAAGACCAGCCTGGCCAATACGGTGAAACCCGTCTCTACTAAAAATACAAAAACTAGCTGGGTGTGGTGGCTCTCACCTGTAGTCCCAGCTACTCGGGAGGCTGAGGCAGGAGAATTGCTTGAACCTGGGAGACGGAGGTTGTGGTGAGCTGAGATCGTGTCACTGCAGTCCACCCTGGGTGACAGAGCGAGACTTTGTCTCAAACAAAACAAAACAACCCCCCCCCAAAAAAAAATCCACACATATTATTTTACAGTTTTTTAGCTCAGAAGTCTGAAATGGTTCTCTGAACTACGCTCCAAGTGTTAGCAGGGCTGTCTTCTTTTTGGGAGGCTCTCAGAAGGAATCTGTTTTCTTGTCTTTTCCAGTTTTTAGAGGCTTCCCCAATTCTTTGGCTCATGACCACTTCTACCAACTTCAAAACCAGCTTTTATCGTTTTCAAAGCCAGAATTGGCTAATTGAGTATGCCATATCTCTGGTTTTGAGTCCTCTGCCTTTCTTTCTCATTTAAGTATCTTTTTGATTATATAGAGTCCACCTAGATAATTCAGGATATCTCTTTATTTTAAGGTCAGCTATTTTGCAACTTCCTTTCCATCTGCTACCTCAATCCCCCCTTGTCTTGTAACGTGGCATACAGATTCTGGGAATTAGGATGTGGACATCTTTGGAGGAGTAATATGCCTCCAAACCAAACTGTCCCTAAATTCAGACTCACATACCTAAAAATCTGACATCTTGACTTGGATGGATACTTGGCATCTAAAATTTATGTCTGAAACTCAGCTCTTGATCCCTCCCAACCTTCTTCTACTATACTTTTTTCCATGTCATTGTCTGGCACCACCATGCATTTAGTTGCCCATGCTGGCTTCTCTCATTCCCACCCTACTTCCAAGTCGTCAGAAAATACAATGAACTCTGACTTTTAAATATATCCTGTATATGACCAATTACTTCACCTCTTTCACCCTAGTCCAAGCTGTCTTTCTCTCTTATTTGGAAGTTGGATAACAGACAAGAGTCTCCTAATTGAACTGCTTTCCTGCTACTCTCATTACAACACTCACAGGCAAACTTAAAAGTTAAGTCAGGTTGTGATTCTCCCCTGCTGACCTGTCCTCTCATCATGCCTAGAACAAAAACCAAAGCTACATGACCTGCATATCTCCACATGTGCTGGCCTAGGTCTTTCCTGCTCTCCCAGCTCCGACAGCTCTCCCCTCACTCCAGATACATTCACCTCCTTATGATTCCTTGTGCACTCAAAGTTTGTCTCACTTCACAGCCATTTCTTTTGGCCTGGGAAGCTCTTCTCTCAGCTGTCTCTCCAGGTCTTTGTTTACAGTGGTCTTTTCTGCCTACCCTACTTAAAATAGCTTGCATTCATTTTTTGTTGCTGCTGGAAAAAATTATCAGAATTTAGTGACTTAAAGCAGCAGAAATTTCTGTCCCCATTTTCTTACTGATTGTAAGCTGGCAACCATTCCTAGCTTCCATGAGATGCCACATTCCTTGGCTTGTGGCCCCTTCCTCCATCTTCAAAGCCAGTTATGGCAGTCAAGTCTCTCTCATGCTTTAAATTTCTTTTGCATCTTCTTCCAATGTCATTATCACATATCTAACCTTTCACTTTTCAGGGCCCATGTGGTGATACTGGGTTCATCTACATTATTCTAGATAATCTCCCCACCTTGAGATCTTTCACCTTAACCACATCTGTAAAATTTCCTGTTCCATGTAATGCAGCCTAGTCATAGCTTCTAGGGATTAGAGGGTTAACATCTTCATGGGGCCATTATTCCACTTACCATTCACCCCTCTCCATCTCTCTATCTATTTAGCCTGCTTCATTTTTTTGTAGTGTTTCTCACAAACTGACGTTGTTTTTCACTGTTTATCCCTTCAGCTAAACAGTAAATTTCATGAAACTAGAGATTGTCTCTTTTGGTTACTTCAGTAGATTCAGCACCTACAGTAGTGCCTAAACACATAATAAGTGCTCAATAAATAGGTAATGAGAAAACCAGGCGTTTACTCAGGGGCATCTTGGGTGTGAAATGTGCATGATCATCAGTGGGTGTATCCAGTAAGCAATTGAATGTGTGCGGGGACGGGGTAGGGTTTTCTTTTATGTGCTTGGAGAAAGGTGGGGTGAGTGTAGTGGTAAGCTCAAAATCTGTGGAGTCAGACAGTCCTGGACTAAAATCCATACCTGACATTGCCCAACAGTTGACAAATCACACCAACCTCCATAATAACAATGCTATTTAGCTTTGAGATTGTTGATAGGATTAAGTGAGATGCTACCTATAACACACTTATAGTTCCTAGTGTATAGTAAGCATTCAATAAATGTGCACTATACTTCCTTCCACTACGGGTAACAATGAGGAAAATGGGTAAAGTGAGAAGTGAGGAAGAAGCTGTTCCAGGACAGAGCCAGTACAGATCAATGGGAACACTAAGGAACAGAAAGAGGAAGAGGAGGCAACACTATTAACAGTAAAAATTGGGAAGAGCTACAAAGGTCAGAGGAAAATCAGGAGAGTATCCTGCCATGGAAGTCACAGGAAGAATAGATTGTTTCAGGAAGGAGCTTGTGCTGAACAGTGTCAGACACTGCTGAGAGATTAAGCAAAATAGTCCGCACAAAGGAAGTATTATCTGAAATCACAGAAGCAGATTTTAGCACAAAATTATTACCCATAGTCCCATAGTTAGGGAATGAAACAGAGACTTAATTTCTATACAATATCTCTTTTGCCTTATTTTTATTTTTATTTTCAAGAGAATATCTGTTTTTTAGCAGGGAACCCAGTGTGGAGGCTGTATGTCCCAGCCTTCCTTGAACCTTGACAAGGCCATTTCACTAAGTTTTGTCCCATCAGCTGTAAGTATGTATGACATGTGAGGTTACTAGCAGTTGGCCTTAGAAAAATGGGGTCTCCAGTTCCTTCTTCCTTCTAACTGGGATGCAGAAATCATGGCTACAGCCTTGCTAAGTGCTTATTTAGGGGTTTTCTGTCACACACAACTGAATTTGATACTAATTTACCACTGCTGGAGTGGCAAATTTGAAATTTGCCCTAAGCTCCATGTGGTTTTGTCTGATAACAAAGTAGTTTCTTCTAACACAATGATTCATTGCCTCTGCTTTAAATTACCCAAAAGACAAACTGGAATCCTTCTTGACCTGAATCACTACCTGCAGCAGTGCCCCTAGCTCTTGTGTAATTGCAGGATTGGAGCTAGCTTTGTATACGTTGTTATGGGAAGTATTGGCCTTTGCAGTTTCTAGCACCTGGGAGACACGAACAATTCTGGGATGGTTTTGTAGAGTCAGGACACCAGTCATTGATTCAAAAGGCTACATATAAGCTACAGTATTTAGTCTCAACCTAAGACTCAATATTTGAGAATACACTGAGTGAAAAGCAGCAGGCTTTGGGGGTAGGAATGGGAGAAATATAGACTCAAGAAAGATTTGAGGGGCTACAATGGAAGAAAGACTCCCCACAAGTCAGCATAGTGGGTTCCAGAC